TTGCACCAAGACAAATTCCTTGTGTGTCCAATCACACTTGGCCAATAAAGAATATTGTTCTGTTCTATTCCTATTATATTTATTTATTTTTTATTTATTTTATTTTGTCAAGCGATTATAAGATAACAGGAATAAGTATAAACATAGTTATGAATACATAAAATGGATAAATATAAGAAAACTAAAAAGAAACATTAGGACAGGGACGGTAGGCACATTGGTGCGCTTATAAACGCCCCTACAGACCTCTTAGGAAAGGGGTGAGGTCAATAGTAGACAGTCTAAGGTTACAGTTTTTGGGGTTTGGGGAAGAAATCAGAGTCGGGTAGAGTATTCCAGACATTGACTTCTGGATATTCCTCCACGTCCTGGGATTTCCCAGTGGTCTCCCATCCCTGCTCAAGCCAGGGATCCCTTTCCAGGACCAGCATATAAACAAATCACGCGTGACCCCACAATCCGCGTGTCTCTATCGCCCCGCCCCCGATCTCCCTCTGGCTGAAGGAAACCTTCCCGCCGGTCTGCGTCTGCGCCGGCTCGTCTCCTTGAAGCCCCGCCCTATTCCCCTTAGCAACCGGACGCGGTTGCCAGGGCGTTCAGGCCCCGGAAACACTTTTGTGACGCGCGCCTCGAGCCGGCTGGCGTCTCTCCGATAGGGCGCCGGCCGTCGTAGGGCGTGTCCACGGGAAGCGCTTCCGGGGTGGCCCGTTTCCCCCCCCCTCCCCCCCTTAGAGCGCTCAGCGAAGGAGGGGGCAGTGGCCCCGGGTTCGCGCCCCCTCCCAGCCGGGAGAAGCGGCTTTTCCTCGGGAGGGTAAGAAGGCCGAGGTGCGGCCCGCCTCGGGCTGGTTTTCTGGGCGTCCGGCGGGGGCGTCCGCCGTTAACCGTAGCCGACGGGAACGCTCGCGAGAGAGGGCGGGAAGGGGGTCGCTCCTCGCCCTGCGCTGCTGAGGGGGGCGCCCCGAGGGCCCGGAGCTGAGGGGGCCACCTGAGTGTGTGTGTGTGTGTGGGGGGGGGGGGCCCCTCCCCCCCCCCCCCCCCCCCCCCCGGGGGGGGGGCGGGGGGCCCCCCCCCCCCCCCCCCCCCCCCAGGCCGGCCTTCGGAGGCGCCCGGGAGGCAGCCTCTCCGTGTGGCGGGCTCTGCCTCGGCTGCGATCTCGGAGGGAGACAAAGAAAGGGAGGCGGGCGGAGGCGCCGTTCTCGCGGCCCCGGCTGGGCTCGGCGCTGCCCGTCGGGACGGCCACGTGGGGCGAGAGCCCCGGGGAGGGTTCGCCTGGGGTGGGGGAGGAGGCGGAATCCCTTGAAGCAGAGCCGCCGCCGCCCCCGCCTGCCCGGGCCTGGGACCGGTGCCTTTCCGTGGGTTGGTTGGGTGTGTTTTTGTGTGTGTGTATGTATACACATACATACACACATATACATATACACACACACCCATACATACATATACACACACATACTGTACATATATACATACATACAACATGCATGCATGCATACCATACATCTCTCTCAT